AATTGTTGTTTGTCAGACTGTACAAACATGATGATCATGTCCCAATGTGGGATTTCAGTTGTCATTAATGTCAGACTGTATGACAGTCAAGACTCGTTAGAAACGGGTGCGCACAAGAAAACTTGTCCAGAGTTTTACATTATCAACCCATAAGCCGCCTTTCCACTATCTCAGACAAACGACAGACAGGAAGCCATTCATTTCCAATGGATAGTAGTGCGGGAGCTGTTCAGATCATATGCGCATGCGGAAAATTCAGATCCGATTTGAGCTTTCAGATTTGCGGCTAGACCATATGTGGTCGCCCGACCGGATGTTATGTATTCTATTAAAAACTATGAGCGTAAGGTTAGAATTACCAATATTTTGTTCACTTTAACATTTTTCTTTAAACACTATTTCTGTAAAATGGTGCTTTAGAGTAATTATTGCAGAAATAATTATTTTATAATTATTAAATCATTATTTACGTTGATTAGCCCCATAAAACCTACTATGTTTTTATGTTGGGGGTCATTTGATTTGTGACTATGCATTCATCATACATTGATTAATTATATTCATTAAAATTATTAATTTTACCATGGTGAATATGCCGAGGTAATGGTTGCTGCACGATCAGTTTGAAAGTTCTGTGCGACTGCCACTAGGGGGAGAAATGCGACTATCTTATCCGAATGACTGAGCTGCATTACACGCGGGGCTGAAATGTTGGCTATCATGAAAAGTATATGAATGGCGGCAATAGTGGAAGAATTTAAGAAGAATTGTATAAGCAGCACTACACACCCACATGAAAGCAGCGGCGCAACCTGTGTTTATCATAGCAAAGGCAACACAAATGAATTCCATGAGCAGAGGACGGGAGCGCCGGAGTTTATGGTTTATGGTGGTTAGAAGAAATCTCTAGCATTAATTCTGATCATGGCTTGTCTTGAAAAACGGAGCCAGTTTGACATTTGTTGTAGGAGAAGTTGCAGGTAAAATTTGATTGCAACAGCCATTAATCAGCTGTCGGTGAACATGTCAAACCAGTGATCAAAGACTACAGATTTTAACCTAGGATTATAGGAATTTTTGGGGATTTTCAAAATTTGTCTCAAATCATGGCCAAAATTGCACCGTGTGAGCTGGGCTTTACAAGAACAATTGTATTGTTATTTGTACGGATACTATTCTTTTTAAAGGGGTGGTTCACTGGGTTTTTTCTAGGCTTGAATGTGTTTATGGGGTGCAGTCTAACATGTTAATGCTTCGTTTTTTTTAAAACGCATTATTTTTCACATAATTTACCTTTATTCCACACCGCTCTGTCCCTTCTCTAAGAAACGGGCTGATCAGTTCCTCCTTTTATGAAGCCCTTCCCTCAGAAATAAGCGATGGGCTCTGATTGGTTAGCTGGCCCAGTGTGTTGTGATTGGCTAAACCGCCTCTAGTGCGCGTCTAAACGTCCCGTCACTCACCTCACCGGCATGTGCTCTGGTTGTATTGTAAACAGCGTCGTCGTTAATATCGCTTATCAGTTTGAGTCCGATTGAGAAGCAGAGGATATTATTGAAGAGGATCGTGCAGAACATGGTAGAACATTGATTTTGAAACTTGTGAATCAATCCATTAGAATTGTTAGAAGACAGAATCGCGATTCATATACGTATAGATTTTTGTGCGCACCTCTAGTTTTCTCTTCCTCTTCTCTAAAGCAGGGCAGCATGGCCTCGCCTCCTTTGTTGTGTGTTCCCGGGGGCAGGGTTTATCTGGGTTTGTGATGTCACGAACCCGGAAAGTAGCTCGTTGTAGTCCCTACCATCTGTTTTTGTAGGCATTAAACTGCCAGAATTTTAAAAGACGATATCTCCGTTTGCATTTAACTTTCAGCTTTGTAACTTTGCAGATATTGTTTATGCTCAAACAGCAACATTAGACACTAACTAACATTAAAAAAGTGAACTCGCAATGAACTACCCCTTTAACATTTTGCATTTTCAATCTTTGCCCAACCAACCCAGAACAGGTTGTCCTAATTATTTTAATTTTGAATAACTACATTTCTAAGAATTCAGGAACACTTTACAATAAGGTCCCATTAGTCAACGTTAATGCATAACTAAAATTAACTAACAATGAGCTATTCATTTGTTACAGTATTTATAAGTCTCCATTAATATTAGTTGATAAATATTGAATGTTATCATATACAGCTTTTTTATAATTTATTGGTAAATGTTGCAATTAAGATCAGATGCTTTAGAATTATTTTTCATTGTTAATTTGTGGTAACTAATGTTAACAAATGTTAAGCTTTATTGTAAAGTAATAACACAAAAATAAATAAATAAATAAAAGTTTACTTCTATTTTATGTGTTATACTTGACTATAGGTTCTTGTCTATTGGTCTATTTTAGTGTCTTTGAGATACTATTATAGTTTTTAATAAGGGTGCTCCGATTGATCGGCTACCGATCACTATCGACCGATAATCAAGTTGGGATGATTGATCGGCTACCGATCACTATCGGCCGATAATCACGTTGGGATGATTGATCGGCGGTCTCTAAAAAGGCCGATCTCAAGCTGATGACGCTGCTGTGAGAGGTTCGGTACGACATGCAGCGGCACCGTCTCAGTCCGGCGCGGGTGAAATCATTATAATGCTGAAGGTGAGGTACTCGCCTTCATATTTCTTCATTAAATAACTTATAAAGTAATTTGAAAACCTTGTGTGAGACGTAATTTCACAAACTTCGTGAGTGAATCACCGCGCGCGCGCTCTCTCTCTTTCTCTCAAAATAGGCAAATGGCTTCAAATCACCACACATGGCGTCTGCCTATAAGCGAGCTGCAGTTGACACAGGGAATTGTCACTTGCACAATCGAGGCAGTGTCACATCGTCACTAAAGTTTATAAATTGCATTACTTTGTAATTCTTGTCAGTGTTTAACCATTCAGCGCTCGCGCGCTCTCCTGGAGACCGTGAAGTCATGCACACTCGCAGCGCACACACATAATGCCAGGTTCACATTACTCCGTTTACAGTGCATACGTAGTGCGTATTTTTTCCGCGCTTATTTTAACGGATTAATAAAGCGTGCACACGGTTGCAGTCCGGCAGTGCGTTCAGGAGCGGTGTGTCTGCAGCAGTGCAGCGATCGTTTCCGCACCGAGTCTATTTTTGCTGTGCTGCATGCGCTGAATTAAAGTAACAGCGCATTGTTTGCAGTAAATATAAACATGGATTGACACGAAAATGTAGTAAGTACACCATAAATGCATATAATTAAAGTCTACTGTGTTTCACAGTCAACACATATGGCTAAATATATTTGAAAAATATCTAAAAAATGCCCCCTCCACCCCTCAAATTAAAAAATCCCCCCAACAAGAGTCACCTAAGAGGGGAATTCCCCCCATTTTCAAAAATGAAATTAAGGCACTGAGTAAATGTCTAAAAATCCTGATTGGAGTATCACTATAAATAGTTATAAATCATAAAAAGAAGGCTTTAAAAGATCGGGATCTGTGATCGGTAACGGCAGATACTGCTTTCTGTGATCGGCGATCGGCCTCAAAAATCCTGATCAGAGCACCCCTAGTTTTTAATGTTTTGAATCAGTTTTCAGGAGAATTTAAGTTATTTTTTATTTTTTAAGTTAGTAAAGCAATTAAAATAAAGTTGTTTTTTTCCCAATTCATTTCAGTCAATGTGTATTTTGAAATAACACTTTCAAAAATGTTTGTTAACTATAATAACCCTGGCTAACTTGTGTCGTGTAGGGTCCTGCTGGAGAGGCTAATTGTGAACAGGCCGCACCCATGGGGTCTGCTCATCACCTTCATTGAGCTGATCAAGAACCCTGCCTTTAAATTCTGGAGCCATGATTTTGTGCACTGTGCCCCAGAGATCGAGAAGTAAGGGTGCCAACATGACACAAACACATCTTTCTGCTTTTTCACAACAGAATAACTGCAGTCTCCATGTTTTTGTGTGTGTGTGTGTGTGTGTGTGTGTGTAGGTTGTTCCAGTCGGTGGCTCAGTGCTGCATGGGGCAGAAGCAGGCCCAGCAGGTGATGGAGGGAACGGGTGCCAGTTAGGCTGCAGGAACTGCTCCTGTGCCCAGAGAGAGAGCTCTCCCTCTCCCCAACCCTTCATTTGCCCCACCAACACCCTGCACGTCTGATCGACACACAGCCGGCACTGGATTCCCGCTCGCCTTCCACCAGGCGGCATCTGACCTGAGGAGTTTCTTTTTTGTTTCCTTTTTTCCCCCTCAAGTTATAAAATGTTCAATGTAAATATTAAAAAGGGACATTTTAAGAGCAGAATGAGTAATTTTTTATTTTTTTTTTGTCAAAGGTGAGGCACATGCTTGAGCACATTTCACTCCTTGCTGTTTGGCTTCCCCTAACTCTCCATAAATGATTTTTTGCCTTCAAGACGGATTGACTTTTGTTTGGAAGCTTGGTAGTGGCTAAGGAAGTGGTCTTGTTTTATTTCTTTCTTTTTTTAATTATTTTTTGAGGTTTGGTTTTTAAGGGGAGCGCTATCAGTGTGGTGAGCTGATAGGATCGGACAGATGTCCTGGACTGCAGGGGGGGGGGTTCACTAGTTTGCACCTGTGAGGAAACAAATCTTAGGTTGGAGGTTCTCCCTGGCTCTTGTACAATTGTGGAAATAGGTTGGAGGTTCTCCCTGGCACTTGTACAATTGTGGAAATATTCAGAAATTTGTTGGTAAATTGGATCTTCGGAGTTTGTACAAAGATTCAACTTGCAGAACAAAAAGGACCAATACAGCTAATTTTGTAAGGATTTCGAATGTTTTGTAAATGTATTGGTCCTCGTGTTGTATTTTGTAGTACTTTGTAGTTGCCTTTAGTTCCGCTACTTATTTCCTGTATGTATGCATTCTGTAGTTACCGCATTAAACATTTGAACTGCAACTTTGCCTCCTTGTTTCATTTGCATTTGTTGAAATGTTAGTTGAAACGCATTGAGTTATATGGTTTCTGGTCCTTGTTAAAGGGATAGTTCACCTTCACCCAAAAATGAATTGGCGTGCTGCGCAACGGGCCGAATCTGGTTTGGATGCGACAGTGTTGGCAAGTTACAGCATTGCATCTGGTCCAGTTGATTTGGCCCAGAATCTGAAAGTGAGTACGCAAGCATCTAGGCCGGGTGCGGCAGATGGAGCCGGGCCGATGGACAAGTCTCTAGCAGGTGAAAATTTAACTGAATCTGGCCCGAGTGTACGGAGAGGGATTGTGTATGAGGTAGATGTAAATAGCCTATCAGCAAACGTCAAATTGGTAAGTTTTCACTAGACTTAGTGGAGTCAGCAGTTTGCTTGACAGTAAATAAGGATCTAATCCTAAAGTTTTTTGTTTTTTTTTAAATACCATTGTTTTTTGTTGTTGAAGTGTTATTTTGATTTCCGATCACCAAGGAGAGGCTACGCAAAGTCCTAAAGATGGCGGCCGCAACAAAAAAGTCACATGACTGAAACCCATGAATACAGCCTTTTTGCTGGGTTTTGTACTCGCACACCAAACTTGCGTACTCCCAGAACAGACTTGGGAAGAACGCAAGCCTTTTACAAGTCAGTGTACAAACAGAATTATTTTTAAACTGCTTTTTACCTTTTCAAGGTAAAAAAAAAAAAATTACATTGCTTTAATGTGCTCAAATATGTTTATGCCGACATGATTTTCCTGTAGCTCAAACAGTACCACATAGCACTAGCAATGTTAAGGTATTATGTTCAATTCCCAGGAAATACATGCCTTCATTTAGTAAAAGTGTCTGCTAAATTCATAAATGTGACTGGACTCGAACTCACCAAAAGCCACACTAAATAAACCACCTTTACGTCAATCAAAACACAATCTGAACCGTATTCCAAATTATTTTTTGAAAGCAAAATGTACAGCATACAAAATGGAAAACTCAAACTACACAGTTTGCAAATTCAATTACACTATATCGGCTGAGGATTTTTTAATCTTGACAACTGTAGAATGCAGTGTCAACACCACATATGACATATGTAAGAATGTTTGCAAATTCAATTACACTATATCGGCTGAGGATTTTTTAATCTTGACAACTGCAGAATGCAGTGTCAACACCACATATGACATATGTAAGAATGTTTGTGAAACCCATACATTAAGACATAGGTTTGGTGAGCTGCTGCAAGCGCTGTAGAATGCTCTTCTGACCGTAACACACATGCAGAGCTCTCCTCTCTCTGCTGCTGAGTTCAGCCAGAGCTCCCTGATCTTCCAGCCGCTTCCTGTCCGCCTCTACATCCTCAGAATAGGAGTCCAGCATCAGAGCAGCTGCCGCATGCAGGAGACATTTCCACTCTGCTGACAACCCCGTCAGTCCGTCGAAACTCAGAGCCTGCTCCATTTTATCATCCTCATTCTCTTCATCTTCCTCCCAGCCTTCGTTTTCACAGAACTCCTCGAAATGTTGCAGCGGCATGCACAGGACCTATGCAGTTTTATATATATATATACATATATGTATATATAAACAGGTAATGTAGGAACAAATTGTCATGTGGATAAAATGGTTACCTTCAGTGTAGTGTAGAGCTCACTGTAAGTAAGTGAGCCTGATTGGCCGAAGATGAAAACCCCTTTCTCCCCAACTATCTCCATTTCACACAACATGTTCCATTTGTCCACTAGGAGCCTTTGATCTGCTTCACTTTGTGCCGCTGTAATTGCAATAAAAACATTTTTTGAAGTTTTGCTTGTGTCAAGCAGTTGACTTTTTATAGACGTCTACAAAGTCGCACCTTGCACTGCTGCTTTGTACACACTGGACATCTGTATATCTGCAGTATCATTGCTGTTAGTAGGAAACGGCTCTGCAAAGCCGTACATGTGGAGGAGCTGCCAGTTTGCCATCTGTCCGTAGGTGTTAAAGACCTCCTCGCCCTTTTCAATGTGCCGTACGGACACCATCTTCAAACACTCCTGTGCATCGAGTGAACGTGAGCTGTGAGATTTCTAAGCATCTAGCATAATAAACAATAAAAAGCGATTCATGTGTACCACATACGGGTGTATATTCCAGATTAGCGTTGTGCTTGGAAACGTGATTCAGCATGTCAGCCATGGGCACCATCATTGGAGGGTTAGGCTCTTTTTCTTCTTCTTCATCCTCATCCTCTACAGGCTCTTGAAAACTGAGGAAATATTGAGAAACGTTGGGAAATGTTACAAGTAAAGTAGGGAATGCACTGATATTAACAGTATGGCTGATATGATAAGCAGATAATTATTTTCATGTTATTACCAATAGCCAATAAATGGCTAGTGGTCAACCAAAATATTGCAAAGGTTGATATATCTACAAATATTTGACATTATTTAAAATAATACAAATTTCTGCAATTGTTACACATGTTTTTATCTTTAAAATTAAATAGTGTGATATTATATATATATATATATATATATGCTTTATATTGGCCACCAGATATCAGCATCGCTCATAAAATAAATTAAAAAATCGGACGATCACTATGAATGGCAGATATTAAAATTCTACTATTTTGTCTAAATAATTTAAAAATACAAACTAAAATAAACCGATTTAAATGTGAAACTAGGCATCACTGCATTATAATGCACAGTATGAAAACGAAATATTTATTTAGAGCTAAATATTAGAAATAACAAATGTTATTAAATTATTAGTGGTGTGTTTATGTTATTAAGTTTCAGTGATCATTAGATGATAGTAAAGGTAATTTAAATATAAAATCAGGGGAAATTAGCATGAACAATTAAATATCCAATTTGATACATTTAAATATCGGCCAATAACCAATTTGGTATACCATAAAAATGGCATAAATAAATGGTCATTATTAAGCCTTTATATAAAAGTATTGCTGTTTATTTATTATTATTTTTATTTTAATACACTGTATATACATATATTAAAATATAGATAATATACAGTTATTATACATAGACAACATACCTAAAAAAATATCTAAACATAAAATTAGATATTTAATATTATACCTTTAAATTTAAAACAGCCATTAAATAAATAGTAGCTATTAAATAAATAACAACCAATTTGGTACCGATATATTGTGCATCTCTATATAGAATAATCATGTTATCAAACCTTTAATTTAATCAAATTCAATAGCTCATAGATATCTCACCTATAGGCCATTACAAATGCTACCAGGCTCTTGTAGAGCTCCAGCGTGTGCTTCTCAGGGTCCCACAGGTCAGGATGGGACTTCATGAAAGGAAGGACTATGTTATTGTACTCATCCTGGAGTTTTTTCAGATCTGTTTTGACAGCCTCTGGAATTCCTGTGCCTTTCAGGAGTTTATCACGCTCCTCCTCGGACCTTCAAAACAGAGACATTGTGACCATAAAGAACTGAAGGATCCTTGAAGAGTATCTTAAAGGTCAGTAAATATTCACAGCAAAACTTACCAGAACATGGGTTGATCCAGTGTCCTAAAATCGGGCCAGAGAGACAAATATGGTTTCCAGTGGGATTGTGGACATGTGTACTCGTATAGGAGACCCAGAAGAAGAGGAACCCAGCCTGATGCGCTCTCCAAAGATGTTTTCCCTAGACAACATATGGTTATATGGTTACAAGCCTGCTATAGAAGGTGGGATTTCAATAAACCTGAATGTTCTTGTACCTTCCTCAAGGACCTTTTTTACTTTAGTGGTGCCGTGATGCAGAAGAACCTCTCTGGGTATGGAGAACAAGACGTGGCCCTCTTCGATGTCCTCTTCGGCAAACATGCCATATTCTGCTGCTGTCCCCTCTTTACTTAAGTACACCTAAAGACATTAATGTACAGTGTGGTAAATATTTCCAAGTTTAGGTTTTTGTCTGTATTTGAAATTTGATTTCAAAATACATGATTAGACTTGTGCTGATGATAAAACCCTAAACTTGGAAATATTAAGTACTTTATAATTATAAAAACTTGAAAAATGGCAAAAGAACATAAAATTATTTTTGCTAAAACTTAAACTGAACATTCAAAATATTAATAAATAGGCCTACTATAATGCTATATCTATGTAATATAATACTATATGTATATAAATATAATACAAGCTTACCTTATCGCTGAGCGTCAGCTTTACACTATCGCACCACAGCAAGAAGTTTTTCAAGGGGTCCAGCACACATTTCTCATCATCTATCTGAAACACACGTGATGCTCTGCTGAAGGCTCATCATGATAAGCACAATAACTGTATTTCAAGCTAAAGGCGCTATTTGAATCTAAACTATGAATTATATAAACTGTCACTAATAATAGTTTGAGAAAACGTCTTTTTTACCTTTGGCCTTTTTGCATCTGTCGCCATTTTCTTTAAAATGCAAGTTCGTTAGTGAGATATTAAAATATATATTGTTTTATAGTGACAACCACACAGGAATACAGGAATAATTATATTCTACGTGCCTCCATGTGAGTAGCGCCAGCTTCGGCCACTTCTTCTTCATTCACTATGTCTGCAGAAAAAGTAACAGAGTCATGTGCATTGGCGCCACCTACTATAAGAATACTACTACTACTACTGCTGCTACTGCTGCTGCTACTACTACTACAGAACAAACCAGTATTAATAAAAAAATAAAATAAATAAATAAATAATCAATATAAATTCTCGATATAACATAACATTTTGTTGTCCTCTTTCCCAGATTTAGGAATGAAGCCTGTCACATATTTATTTATTTATTTATTTTATTTTATTTTATTTTTTAATTAATTCATTCATTCGTAAAAATATAAATATGTGACCCTGGACGACAAAACCTGTCCAGGATAGGACAATATTTGGCCGAGATACAATTATTTGAAAATCTGGAATCTGTGGGTGCAAAAAAAATCAAAATATTGAGAAAATCGCCTTTAAATTTGTCTATATTATGTCCTTAGTAATGCATATTATATACTAATCAAAAATTAAGTTTTGATATATTTATGGTAGGAAATTTACAAAATATCTTCATGGAACATGATCTTTACTTAATATCCTAATGATTTTTGGCATAAAAGAAAAATCGATAATTTTGACCCATACAATGTATTGTTGGCTATTGCTACAAAAATACCCGTGCTACTTATGACTGGTTTTGTGGTCCAGGATCACATATACATATCAACAAGAAAGTAACAAAAAAATACGTCTTAATTTCAAGAAAGATCTTCACCAAGACAAGTATGAGGACCTGAAAGGAAATTTATTATTATACATTACTCATGTGTCTTAAAAGAATTTGCAAACACAGACATAAATTCACTATGACAATAAAATAAAGCGTACAAACAAGAGAAAATGTTATCTTACCAACAAAGAATGGCATAAAGGCCTCAGGCTTCTCAAGCCAGGCCTGCTCATTAAGGAAGTTGACTGGGTTAAACTCATGAGGAAACTTCCACTTGTGCTTCTCCAACAGCACAGAGAAGACGTTGGGAATGATGGGAGTTCTCTGTAATTTCCTGTTACTTTCCATTACTATTTAATTAGGTTTTTAAGAGCATATATTGTCTAAACACTTTACTGATTCTACATGACATTACATGATTTTTTGATGACTTTGGCTGGTATTGTGGTTATTATATGTATACAAGTGGTTTGGAGAATGAATGGATGAATGGAAGTCACAGTCCTCTCCTACATTCATCACATTTACAATAACAATGCACTTTATCTATTTAACACTTTTACATTAAATGGTTTATCCGATATTTACATTGAATGATTTTGAATTTGGTCTTTTTCATGTGTGATTTGGTGAAGTTACAGGTCACATGGCCTCTGGTCCACCCCTGGACACTCAGTCAAATTGTTTAGAGAATTTTACTTATTATCCTGATAATTCTCATTTAGTTAGCTAGAGCATTTTAATTTAATGTTTGCCTTTGTCCATTCATTTAGAATTTAACTATTCACCCTGCTGAAAAATCCAGCATTGCTGGTCACCAGCATTAGGTATGTTTTGCATGCTGGATCCCAGCATGGGATACTGGTTTCTGGTTTGCTGGTCCCCAGCATGGGATGCTGGTTGCTGGATTGCTGGTCCCCAGCATGGGATACTGGTGTCTGGTTTGCTGGTCCCCAGCATGGGATGCTGGTTGCTGGATTGCTGGTCCCCAGCATGGGATACTGGTGTCTGGTTTGCTGGTCCCCAGCATGGGATGCTGGTTGCTGGATTGCTGGTCCCCAGCATGGGATACTGGTGTCTGGTTTGCTGGTCCCCAGCATGGGATGCTGGTTGCTGGATTGCTGGTCCCCAGCATGGGATACTGGTGTCTGGTTTGCTGGTCCCCAGCATGGGATGCTGGTTGCTGGATTGCTGGTCCCCAGCATGGGATACTGGTGTCTGGTTTGCTGGTCCCCAGCATGGGATGCTGGTTGCTGGTTTGCTGGACCCCAGCATGGGATGCTGGTTGCTGGATTGCTGGTCCCCAGCATGGGATACTGGTTTCTGGTTTGCTGGTCCCCAGCATGGGATGCTGGTTGCTGGTTTGCTGGACCCCAGCATGGGATGCTGGTTGCTGGTTTGCTGGACCCCAGCATGGGATGCTGGTTGCTGGTTTGCTGGACCCCAGCATGGGATGCTGGTTGCTGGTTTGCTGGACCCCAGCATGGGATGCTGGTTGCTGGTTTGCTGGACCCCAGCATGGGATGCTGGTTGCTAGTTTGCTGAATCCCAGTTTAGGATGCTGGTTAGTGGTCCCCAGCATGGGATGCTGGTTGCTGGTTTGGCGGTCCCCAGCACGGTAAGCAGGTGTGCTGGTGGACCAGCATAAGGTATGTTGTGCATGCTGGGACCAGCTTGGGATGATGGTGTGCTGGTGGACCAGCATTTGTTGTCTTTTGGGTGCTGGTATAATCCCAGCAAGGCTGCAACAAAACTTGTGTATGTGTTACATAGCACGTTTCTTTTGAAATTGGTTTGTGTTTGTAGTTAAAGACCAAGAAATTGTCCAAATTAAATTTAATAAATTATTTAATAAAGAAAAACACAAGTTGCTGGTTACATGTTTACACAGTAAAATCCCCAGTGTTAAACAAACACTGCTCAGTTTTCATATGGTCCTGATCTACAGCGAGTAAAAGTAACACTGAAGCAGGGTTGTAGTTAGTGAAGTAAAGTAGATTCAATCTACAAGTGATGACTGAGCATTAGTGATGACACCTATACGATTAACAAGCAGAATCACTGAGAATAAGAAGGGCAAGAACAGAAAAAAAGTGAAGAGGTGAGCAGAAACACATCAACTACTTACAGCAACACAGCCTTAGATGAAATCAATATCTCACCAGAGGATGATTAAACAACTGCAAAAACAGAATTACCATATTTACTTATTGCAAACCAGTTCGACTTTATTTCTTTCATGTGGTACATGTACAAAGGTTGCTGAAGTCTGTTACCATTATGGTAATTAATGTTCATTTTAGTTGGGCTCTTAGCCATTGACTTTGGTTGAATTAACTCTATTTCAGCTGTTGCATGCAGAAAGTGCACACTATTACTATTTTCAATAATATTTCATGGTCCTCACTGCACTGACATACCTTTTACTATGTGTACTTTTTGAAATCAGACTGACAGCTGGATTTGGACGTATGTGACTTCCCAGATAAGTATGAAAGTCTATAAAAACAACAACTTTCAGTTTTGAACTTTCATTATCAAGTTGTTATTAACTGTCCCATTGACAGAGCTCTTCTCATAACCCCTGTTATTGAACAAACTGCTTATGATTAAGCTTCTGTTAGGCATTTTTTGGTTTTCTTATCTCTGAATGAATTTGTTATGCAATCAATGTACTCAAGCTCTTTTTAACTAATTTGTGTACAGATCTTATGAAACAGGAGACAATTCCTTTGATGCTTTGAAACATTTTACCTGTTTACCAGTGACATTAATTAATAATGTAATCATAACTAAAGCAATTAAAATTTTCAGTTCTACTTTCAGCAGAGGAAGCAAAATAAACTGCAAAGTTATCATATAACTCAATAAATCATGTTTTAACCTTATAGTGTTTTTCTGTTGCATCATTCATTTGTTAAATAGAGAAATATGCAAGCAAAAACTGTTTGTCCCCAAAACACTACTTGCTTATAGACAACTGGCCTACTGACACTCAACCCTGCAAGACCATGCTGGTGAACCAGCATCACCAGCTCCATTTTGCTTGAGAACAGCATGGATATGCTGGTCCACCAGCTAGACCAGCACTATACCAGCATAAACCAGCACAACCAGCATAAACTAGCACTATACCAGCATAAACCAGCTTGGACCAGCACTAACCAGCATAAATTAGCACTATACCAGCATAAACCAGCGTTATACCAGCATAAACCAGCCTGGACCAGCACTAACCAGCATAAACCAGTGCTATACCAGCATAAACCAGCCTGGACCGGCATTATACCAGCATAAACCAGCTTGGAATTCATGCTGGTTTCTGATGGATTTTTCAGCAGGGCAGATAAATCCCAAAGTGAACAACACAATTTTGCAGTCCAAAGGGAAGATTTATACAAAAATAAATTATTTCTTAAGTTTGTTTTACAGAACTGGAATTTTTGCTAGGAATGTCTCAAAAACAGACACGAAGGCCACATTTAACAACTTGATTAGAGCTTTATTATGTTCTCCCATTAGGAACTTTTTGTACAGACTTTGTATCTTTTGGTTCCAGAAATATATTCCAGAAATATCTTCAACAAATTTTCTTCTGAAGCACAAGGCATTGACAGAGCTCACGTATGGGTAGTGTAGTTCACCAGAAATTAAGCTATTAAAAGCAAGGCAGATTATATCATATATCATCACTTCAACTATCTTGAAGCTCATGGTAGGTCTGTATGAAAAGGAAATTAATTGAATTTTTACTTCCAGAACCCACCTGTTGTGCTCAGTTACCTCCAACTTCAAACGCAGCCCGATACTCATCACAAACTTTTGATAATGCTACACAATTAGATATTCAAAGATAATCTGTTTATCAAATTATATCCTATATAGAGAGGAGAAGTATTTGACATTGTGATTTACTGTTTAACTGTCTCTCTATGTCTGATGTGCATTCTGTAGGGTTTGGGCGTCATGGTGATCCCATATACTGGGGTGTAGTCTGGTTCCCCTGCATCATCGGGCCACACAAACTGGAAACGGCGCAGCAGAGTGACAAAGACCAGGAAGAGCTCCATACGTGCAAGACCCTCACCGAGACACACACGAGGACCTATAATACACAAATGATGATGCTCTTGTAGTGGTTACAAATAATAAAGAAAAATGCAAGGATTATTTTTCCTAAATATATCGTTGTTGTCATAAGAAAATAATAATAATTAAAGGTCATTAATGTGTGATCTATGTTGTGTATCAACTAAGTATGATCTTTGAGGATAACGATTTATATCTCCTGCCGAGATTGGTATGGACGATAGATTACTTCTGTTTTTGG